GAATGCCTTCTATGTCCAACTTTAACTATTATTTGTTCTGTTCTTCAGTGGATAAACAGGACAATAATTATTTTATTAGTAACATACCTCGCATAACGCATTTTCGCACTGATACTGCTGTAAATAAATATATTTATTGTTAATTATTGTTGCTTTATACATTTCATTTGTCAACTTAGGAAACTCATTAAAATCTTCGACGTTAAATTCACTGTTTTTTTTGTTTTTTGTTGTTGTTGTTGTTTTTGGATTGATTTCGCTAAGTGAAGAAACTAAGACTGTTGTTTGTTTGTTTTGAATTTCGCGCAAAGCTACACGAGGGCTATCTGCGCCTGTTGTTTGTAATTTGTAAGACAGGTGGCCTCATACCTTCGTTCGGTTTAACAAAATAGACATGTGCGGGTACAAACAAAACTCTTTAATAGGCTAGGCTATTTTCCACATCAAGAGACATTTAAAACACATTAGTTAACATTCCTTAAGACTAAACTATCTGAGTTAGTGATAGCTAATATGAACTTTTCAGCTGATCGTTTTCTTGTATTTTATTCAATGTTAGTAAATATTTCATAGCAAAATTTCATATCCATTACTGCACTATTTTTATTTGTCTAAATAAATCCTTTAAATAACATATAATCAGGAATTTGTTGATGTTTTTAGCACAAAGCTACACAATAGCTTTTTGCGCTCTGTGCACTACGGAGAATCGAACCCCAGACTGTTAAGCGATGTGAGCTTGTAAAATTTCATCTGACCCACCGTGAACATCTAATCATATATTAAATATCTTGCGCAGTAAAGAAACTTGAAGAGTCTTGCAATAGCTTGTAAATCTTCAACAGTAAAATCAGGACAAAAATCACTATTTTTCGTTCAAAACTTCGCTGTTTTAATATTACCTTTCTTGGACTTCTTTTTCTCAACCTTTTCACATATTTTTTGGGGGAAAAGAATAAAATCTAGTCATTAATAAAGACAACTCCAAACAAAGAGTGTTAAAACAAAGTACAAATCTATATAAAATTGTACAATGTAATCAATATTTTAAGTTTTTCAGTTACTTATCGCGATAAAATTCGACTTATCCCTATGAGATTTCATAGTAGAGAGTAAATGTATTATATAAACACCTCTTAAACTGGCTTTTTATTCCCATGGTGTTTGTTAGCACTAAATGTTTTCATCTTATCCGAAAACCTTGGTTCGTATATTTCCTCTTTAATCCACTTAATGAGATTAATAATTCTCTCACTAACTCTGAAACTCTAACAGCTCTGATATTTTCATTTGCGTTGCATTTTTCTTCGTTTGGTAAGTTAATAAAATACTTTACTTCAAAACTTTAAGTTCACTGTTTTGATGTCTGTAGCTCAATCACAGAAATAAATTAAACAGAAATCTATTTTTCTCATTCGTTAATTAAATTGCTCTAGTAGAAGTATCTGGGAACTTAGTCATGGGATCTAATAGATCATTGTTATAACACGGTGTTAATAATCACTGTTCTAATACGGTGTATCGCTATCCTTGATGTGGTTACCTTCTGATCTACAGCATAACATGTTTTTCAAGTTAGGTTCACACAGATGTTAGATGAAATTTATCTCCACTGATATATCAAAAGCTCGTATCAGGTGATGACAACCGCAAGACTGCCATTTAATCTTTCGAAGTAGCTTCTCCATCTATTCACAAAGATCTGCTCGTAAAGTAGTTCTGATATTTCATTTCAACTGTCAAACTATTATTTAAAATTAAGATTTGAGCGATCCGTTCCAAGATATTGATATTACTGCTCTAAAGCTAGGCCACAAAGCGTTATTGTGCTGGAACGGCACGTGCAGGGAATGATTCAAGCAATAGAAGCACAATGACTTCATTATATTCGGTATGGTTATTTGGGATTTAGCACCATCTATGAGGTACTTGTAGCATGCTCTCCATCAATGTGGATACTTTGGAAGGGCTGAGACACTCAAGTTGTACGTTGTTTCAAGAATACTAGGCATCGTTTTGCTTGAAGTAAAGCCTCCTATTTATTGCAGCTATTTAACCATATTAAAACTGATGGCATGATATTTGTCTAGAGGCAAGCAGGTAAACTATTCGAATACGATTGTCATTTGTGGAACATCTTATGGAAATGTTGTTGTACGAGTACTTTCTGTACGTATGACGTGCGACTTATATATGAGATCAAAACATGTCTAAATACCCTTGAATATCAATAGATTTTTTAAATGAACACGAAGTAAAAACAATGATTAACTTATTCTCCCGACAGAATAACTGGCTCAGCAGTAAGTGTGACGGCTTATAACGCTAAAATCCGGGTTTTGATACCCGTGGTGAGCACACCACCGATAGCCCATTGTGTAGTTTTGTACTTAACAACAAACAAGCAAGCTCTGTCTTATAACCTTAACAAGTGAAAGTTTGCCACACTCAACAGCCCTTTCAACCAGCTTAACATCTTAAATGTTATACTGTCGAATGGTCTCATTCACAACAGCCTTCTTTCACTCAAATATGTTGCTGTTATACTGTTGAATGATCTTATTCACAATAGCCTTATTTCACTCAGAACTTTTAATATTATACTGTTGAATGATCTTATTCACAATAACCTTCTTTCACTCAAAAATGTTGATGATACACTGTTGAATGATCTTATTCACAATAGCCTTCGTTCACTCAAAAATGTTGATGTTATACTGTTGAATGATCTTATTCACAACAGACCGCGTGCACTTAGAGGTAGATTATTTCACACGATCAGAAATGCCCGAATGGGTTTGTTAGGGCAATGTGTTTATGACAGGTCAAATATATACAAGTTTGTTTTCACTATTTGCAACAGTTGTCAAAATACTTATCGACCACCTTTATCACATTCAGCATTCATTATATTTCAGTATACATATGTGTAATATTAATATGTACTTACCAAATAACTTCAAAATTCAAAGAATGTGTTGCTTCAAACGAGTTTTAACATTGCGAATTACCTTCTAAGGTACAAGTGTCACAATTACCTTCCAAAGTGTTAAGGCGTTAAATTATCTTCTGAAGCATAAGTATTAAAAAAGAGCCTTAGGAAAATGCATTTTATTGAACGAAACAGAAAAACACACACACATTAATATACCAATAAGATATCACTTACCTGTTTTTTATCTGTTTTAAACTAAACGTGATTTTTATTTTAATGTGAAATATTTTGCGCAGTGTTTCTACCTTTGTATATCTGTTGCTTAGACCATCCAAACGTGCGTTACAGTGACACACTTTGACGATAATATTAACATGGACTGACTAGAGACATGTATAAAATGGTTAAAACAGATTTAGTCAACGTTTCATACGAATTTTAACATGAATACTTACTAATGCCGTAAAAGAAGAGTATTGTATTGAATTCCGCGCGAACCTACTCAGGGGCTACGTGTGCCAGCCGTCCCTAATTTTAAAGGCAGCTAGTTAACATCACCCACCGCCAACTCTTGTATTACTCTTTACCAACGAAACGTTGGGCTAACAACCACATTAAAACGCTCTATTGGCTGAACCGGCAAACAAGTTTGGTGAGGGGATTCGAACCCGCGACTCGCAGAGTGCGAGTCAAGTGCCCTAACCACCAGGTCATGCCAGGCCTTCCTCACAACCAGGCCATGTTTATTGGTTGAAAATAGAAACACATAAGACTAAAGTTATTAAACAGTTAATTAGGTTAAACTGCTCATATTACACGTATATTCGAGTCAATGCTTACGATTATGAGCATCATTTTGTGAAAAGTAATTAAGATGATTGATTGGAGAAAAAAGGTCAAAGACAAAGAGAATGGAATGATTAGGTCAAAGATCATTACTAGAGGTGTGTTTATCTCTCTTAACTGTGCGGCGAAAGGTATTTGTCAGTTCAATTTAACCTCGTTAAAATATTGTTATGAAATAATATTAGGTAGTTCAGAACTGATTTGGGATGCATATCTTTACATGTCGATTTTCTAATTCTATCTCATAATACAAAAATTAATTGTTGTCGTGAAGAACATTGTAAGTTCTTGCTAAAGTAAAATTACTTTGTTTAGTACAAAAAATACGGGATATTTAACGTTATTGATTTTATCTTAAGAATAAAACACAGTGCCAATAACGTTTGATTGTGAACAGATTGTTGAAAAGGTTCAACAGGAAATAAACAAACACGCTTACTAAAATTAGGCAAACAAAGACGGACAGGTAGATTTTAACTAATTATACATGAAACAAATATGCATATAATTCTATAGATCGATAGCACTGGATGCAAAATAACATTTTAATTTTAAAAAAATATTTCAACATATTGGATTTTTGATGTTATATCGGGATGAGTATGACCTGATTTTTTATGTCATATCGGAATGAGTAGAACTTGATTTTTTGATGTTATATCGGGATGAGTATGATCTGATGGTTAGCTTGCCGGACTATGGATACGAGAGTTAATAGTTCGTGGTTCCTTGCCGCTAAAATCGCTCTCAGCACTTTGAAACTGCAGGTGTGTTACAATAGTGGCGGTCAAATCTATTCGATCTGACAAGAGCTTACGGTTGGTTCAAAATTAGGGATGGCTTATGCAAATAGCCTTCATTCAGCTTTGCTTGAATTCCAAGAAAACAAAAGTGATATTGTACATAAGTACCAAACGCTGAAATTATACAAAATAGACTTTCTTTCAGCCATATGAGGCATAACCTCTAGTTCTTTCACTTTTATTGACAAAAATTTTCATTGACAAATATGTTTACAAAAACTTCCCTTATCCGTATTTTATGAGCGTTGGCATGACGATTCCATTTTCAGAATTTTTATATTTAGTAATTAGTATTTTCCTCTACGGGCTCATGAAAGCAAAATTTATTGCTTTGAGTCTTATTACATATCGTAACGCTAGGCGGCACTACCTTCTCTAGTATTCCAGAAGTCTATAAATACTGCTGTCCTAAGAGCTGTGTGTTACAGACAGAATAAAAGATCCCTACTGCTGTGTAGACGAGAATCTGGTCAGTAAACGAAGCCTGATTGAAATATACTTTTTATCACAATGCTTTCTCTGTCTGCTTCCGAACAAGTTCGCTTTCGAAATAAGAAAGGCAACGTTGTTACGGCCTTGCCTGTGACGGTAGAATTTGGAAAAATTGTTAAAGGCGACAGAAACACGCGAAATTCCAGTTTCGGTGAATGGAAGAAGATCATGAGTAGCACACTTGGAAGCGAGCAGGTAAGCCTAATTTACAACAAATAGCTCTTATTTTACAACGTTTTGATATGTTGCACTTTCTACCTTAGCTAAGAGACAGGATATACCTATGTAACAACGCCTGAAATTGTATTTATAACTTTTTTTTCAGAGACACTCTGAAAATGATATAAACACACTCTACATTAGGTTGTGATTTGAAATCCCTGAATGAAAAGATATTTCAAAAACATTAAAATGAAAATATGATAAACATATTTTATGTTTACTTGTAATATATGTATCGATCGCATTAATCGATAATAAAATAGTTTTGAATAGTGTGCCTTAAAGTTTTGATCTCAGAAATGAACTAGCAATAAGAATGGTTTTGCTTCAAACAAATCATGTGGTTTAAACAGAATAATCATATGTACTGGTATTGAAATAGTTTAAACTGGCTTTTGTAGGAGAAAAGGGGCAATAATGTATTGTGAAACTGTTAACTCAGTAACTAAATCGTTTAATAAATCAGTAAGTTACTTAACTTTCGAAACTAAGATATGCTTTGTGTTATCAAAAAGAAAAAGAAAACATTTCAGAATTTGCCAAATCTTCAATCTTATTTTATAAAAAAGTTAAGTTTCACTATAAAGTTACTTAGAAATTGTTTTGTTAAAGCTAAGAACCTTACGCGACGTCTGAAGTTACACTCTTGCCTTGTCGCTGTTGTTATGAAAATGTTGTCCGGTCAACACTAGAAAACTATTTACTTCTTTTTTGTGGTTAACAATTTACCAACATACGAAACATGTATATTGTGAGAAGCTGAAGTATGGTTATGATATAATGTTAGTTTACTCAAATTAGCCATGTACTAAATGTAGTAATATAAAACTAAGTAGGGTTTAGAAGAGCAGTAAACGAAGATTAAAACGTCAGGAAAGGAGTTTATAGTTGTATAAAGATATTGTTAGTTTTAAGCGTTTAGATGAAACATAACCAATAACGTGTTTACCACTGTGTTATGGAAGTGTTTATGGGTTTATTATAGAATATAAACTAGAATCCTGTCACAGAACATCCTTTCAGCCATGAGGCATTATATTGTGGCCATCAATCCAAATATTTATTGGTAAAGAGCAGCCCAAGTATTAGCGGTGAGTGGGGTTCACTAGTTGCCTATCACTTCAAAATTAGGGACAGTTAGAGCAAATAGTTTTCGAGTAACTTTGCGCCAAACCTTATTGATGAACAAACAAAAAGTAAAGTAATAGAGTTGGGGAAAAGACAACAGTTTGAGATGTTAAATATTAAATGAATAAAGCTGACCTTATAAATGTGTTGAAATCCAGTGAACAAGTTACAAGCAACATTTAACCTGCTATTTTATCTGCGTTAGCTTATAAATACTTAGTAAGGAAGTACGCTTTGGGCCAGTGGTTCTCAACGTGGCCACGCCATGTTTCTAAGGGGCCACACGTGAATGACGGGAAATTAGGGGGACACAGTAAATTCTGAGTGGGCCACCGAAACTTCCGAATAAAATATTTAAATTTTAAAATTGAATCAAAGGTTCCCTTCTCCCCGTATCTCCCACAGTTCAGAAGTCAAGTTACCAGACGCGAATTATACTCGAGTAACAAAATTCTGGATTGGGTGGTGGATCCATTTGGGGTGAATGCGGTTGATGTTGACATCACATTACAAGAATGTCTCATCGAACTGCAGAGTGATATAACAGCTCAAGCTAGTTTCAAACGTGACAAACATTATTTCTGGATAAGTAGTGAAATAGCTAATAAGTTTACACAGTTCTGGGAGAAGGCAAAGTTGTATTTTAACGCTTTTCCCACATCTTAACTAGTTAAATCTGGTTTTAGTCGGGTGGCTTATTTGCTATCAAAAATACATAACCGCCTTGATGTTGTGAAGAGAAGTGATCTTCGTTTACCACTGACAACACTGCAACAGGACATTCAAAAATGTTCAAGTGTTCTCCAGGCCCAAGGATCACACTGAATAAAATGTCAATGATGAACAGAATATTTTTTACTTGTATAAGTAAACAATATGTTATAAACTAAATATTTAAAAACAACACAATATTATAAAAATTATATTATAATATTATAAATATATTATAAATCAACAGTGTGGAAATAAAATAACTTTTTTCCTCAGTAACAGCGTCTACGAAGGGTGGGGCCACAGTGATAAATCAAACTCAAACGGGAGCCACAAGCAAAAAAAGTTGAGAAACACTACTTTAGGCCATGATGAAAAAGAACGACTTATTCATTTATTAGCACAAAAATATTAAAAAAACGTCCGGAAAAATGTAAAATTGAAAACAAGATAACTTTTTATTATTAATTTTGTTAAAGCTAATTGTAACTTCTTACATGAAATGTCAAAAGCTGAATTAACGACCCCTTTTTCCAGATAAAGATTTGTTTAATGCTTAATATTCCTGTCTCCCGCTGGGTCAGCGTGGTAATTTTACGGACTTGCAACGCTAAAATCTGAGGTTTGATTCCACGAGATGTACAGAGTACAGGTAGCCCCCTGTGTAGCTTTGTTGTAGTAGAACAGTCAATATTTCTTTCGCTTTAAGGGTCTTCGTGAACTCCCTACAACAAGTGTTTTTGTTTTTTTGTTATTATGTATACGTTGAAGCTTCGAAAGGTTGTTTCTTTGTTTGTTTTATTTATGGCAAAGCTACTAAGTCTACCTGCCACCATCCCTAATTTTGAATTGTCAGTCGGCAGCACCCACCGCCAATTCTTGGGCTACCCTTCCACCGACATGGCTGAAAGAGCGACCATTTTCGGCACCATGTTTCGATACCGTGAGCTGCAGATTGCGAGTGGAGAGCCTTAACCACCAGGCCCATATTTTGAAGAATCCATAACATCAAATATTGTGTATTAAACACATTTTTATCTGGATAATTATTTGTTTGTTTTGTAGGATTTCGCGCAAGGCTACACCATGACTATCTGCGCCTGCCGTCCGTAATTTTGAAGTGATAGACTAGAGGGAAGGCAGCTAGCTAATACCACCACCAATTCTGTCATAGTGTAACTTAACTGTCATTTCTATAAGCCACCCACGGTCCTAAAGTCCGGAGTGCGATTTTTCATTTTGAGATAAAGGGACGCGAACCACGAAACCTCAGCTCTGTCGTCTGGCACGCAAACCATTGGGCCGTGGCCGGCCCCTTTCTGGATAAAATGTTCGTTTGTATATTTACTCTATAAGCTCTTGTGTTGCCAAACCAGTAAGTTGAGTAGTAGTAATCTATTTTAATTACGTTTATATTTTGATAATGTAAAGCTATTTATTCACTGAACTAAGAAAAGTCGCATGTTAAGAAAGAGCTAGAAAGAGCTACTAAAAACAGTAAAGAAGTAAGGGTCCTCTTCGAGATAGTTAACAAATTCCTTTGATTGAAACACTAGATACACGGATCTTACATTCAAATGTAGGCGTGTAAGAAATTACACTGAACAAACATTATTATATGAAAAAATTAAGTAAACGCATGATACATTATCAAGTTAATTAGGTTTAAAAAACTAGAACATAGTAAACCCGCGATATAAAGTTGTTAGTTTTATTCAATTTAGAATAGCATTACTTCTCATTAACAAATGATTTAACATTAATCTGTAATTTTAAGTGTAATGACATGGAGAATTATTAACAATATGGCATTTTTATATGTGTTTGTGTGTGTGCGTACATTTCGAGAGAGGGGGGGGGGGAAGATAAGAACAATTTGTCACCAAGAATGCTATCTTTTATAGTAATTATTTTTGTATCTAAGCTGCTTTAATTTTATATTTTTGTTAACGTATAACTGTACTTGTGTCTTACAAGAACTGTATGTTTTCATATAAACGATGTATATATATAAATATTTATGAGGTAAACGTGTTTCACATTTTAGGTGAACTTGTATTTTATATTTATTTGTACAGCTTTAAATATATTGTTTGACAGGCTATCAATAGGAATTAAACTGGCCTATTGCGCAGACTTCTCAACTTGTTTCCTGTAGATATTTATTCGTGGTAGGTTTGTTTAAAAATGATATAACGATCATTACATTCAGTGTTCAATGTGCTTACTCGAAGACGTTCATTAGTTATGGATGTAAAAAGCGAGATATAGATGCATACCCGGATTCTTGAATAAACACCGTTTCTTTAGTAAAGATAAGAAGAACATAATAGCTTCGTTCTCGTGAAACTGTTCAATACTTATGGAAGACTAATAAAGAAAGGCATGGGAATAACTGCAGTAATGAAAAATCAATTAACCTATCATGAACTTATTGACTAGGTGCTTCCGAAAAAATCAATAAACCCATCATGAACTTATTGACTAGGTGCCTCCGAAAAATCAATTAACCCATCATGAACTTATTGACCAGGTGCCTCCGAAAAATTAATTAACCCATCATGAACTTATTGACCAGGTGCCTCCGAAAAAATCAATTAACCCATCATGAACTTATTGACCAGGTGCCTCCGAAAAATCAATTAACCCATCATGAACTTATTGACCAGGTGCCTCCTTATAAATTTTGAACGATATTCAAGTAAATCGCACTTTGTAATAACGATGTTCGAGGCCTCGTGCTGTTCTTGGAATTACAGTTCATCGTTTGATCGTGTTCTGTCTGACTATGATGTCCATCACGACGATTTCTATTTTCACTGGATATGGATCTGGAGTTGGCATCCTTTTACAGAAGGTTCGCCGTCATGGTGTGCCATGTCTTCCTTTCCTGTGCCGCTCTGACGCATCCTGCATAGTCCAGTTGTATCCATTCACATATATATATTTCATCTATTTTAACAAGCTTCTGCAAAGGACGGCATGGTCAATCCTGGATTATACTATTGGCAAACTTTCCACGGGCCTTCTACTGTACGTGGACGTCGGCTTTCAAAACCATCTTTAAGCAGACCAAAGGCACAAAAGTCAATTGGAACTGCTTTAAGGACTTGACAGGTATGTGGTCAAAAGGT